TCCTCCCCCGTCATCTGCTCCTGTGTGCTCTGGTCAGATATATCCTTCTCCCGAAGCTGCAGATTCAGTGCCATCCTTTGAAATGAATTCTTCTCGGGGGAGGGGCCACTGCATTTTTTTATAATTTTGTATGAACTCAATTTTATTTATTACAGTAAGTTTAGATTGTCTAATTTGTATCTTTTACAGCTGCTGCATCAGGCAACGAGAACATACAACCACCACCATTAGCTTATAAGAAATGGGGTCTACAAGATATTGACACCATTATTGATCATGCTAGTATTGGTAAGCATTTCTATTTCAAATTCTTATGGAAGCCACCTCTTATACATTTTTATATTATCTCTCATGTGTTAGAAATTCATTTTTTTATGTGAAAAGGATATGTACTACCTTTAATGAGACATTGAGAAGTTCATTCAGAGCTACTAAATCAGCGTAGGCTTATGTATTTATGAAATGATAACAGTTTCAATGAAGCTGTGATTGTGGCCCTCATCATCAAGATTATGCAGTCATTCACTGTTTTTTAGATTCATACAGTTACCATATAGATGATTCTTTGTTAAAAAAGTAAAAAATGAGCCGATACCAAGGGCTCAACTGGAAAGAAAATGTTTTGAAAGTGATGATGGCAACAAATGTACAAATGTGCTTGACATTATGGATGGATATATGGATTATGATAAGAGCTGTATGAGCACCCAATAAAATTATTTACAAAAAGGAGAAAAAGGTAGTAGAGGTTAATCCTATTAGCAGACGGGCCATAGGTTAAAATAGAATCATATTACTAAACAATTATGGCAGCAGACGATAAATGAGAACAACCAGTATTTGAAGACTTACTGTACTTGGCATCATGAATATAGAGATGAAAAGATAAGGTCTCTGCCATCAAGATTCACAGATTGGAAGGAACACATGAAAGCAGTGCAGTACTGCAACATAGCTGCTGCTGTGTTAGAGAACTTGGCCAAAAGTAGTGGGAACAGAGGGGAGAGAACTCAGCACTGCTAGAGAAGAGGAGGTTGATTTTAGTATGAGATTAGCATATTAAATAGGAGTTGACCAAGAGAACAAGCATAGAGAAGGACAATCTGACCAACATGAAATTAGGTGTTGGGGTCAGAATGTATTTTGGGGGAAGGAAAATTTGCAAGAAGGAAAGTTAAGTATGAATGTAGGAGTCACCTGTTTAACAGCCTGATATAATTTATAGGAGGCAGTGGTGATGCAGTGATAGAATTCTTGCTTTCCATTCAGGAGACCAAAGTTGGATTCCTAGCCAATGCACTTCGAACACAGCCACCACTGTCTGTCCTGTCAGTGGGGGCTTGCATCGTTGTGATGATGAACAAGTGGTAATAGAGCTTCAAACTAAGATAGGCTACAAAGAAAAGCCTGTGATCCACATCCAAAAATGAACCAGTTTAAATCCAGTGAATTACAATGGTCCGTGAGTTGGGACAACTTGATGACTGACATCTAGAGCAGCGACAACAATAGTATAATACACAAATGCATTTGGACCGTTGTCCCAGCCACGTTGAGTGGCACTGAAGAATTTTGAGCAAGAGATGATATAATCCGATGTTCCTCTTAGAAAAATAATTTTGGTGGCCATTTAGCAGTTGGAATAGAGAGGGCAAGACTTTCCTGTAAAGTCCCATAAGGGAGCTATGAAAATCTTGCTAAGAAATATTGGCCTTCTGAATTAAGGGTAGTAAAAATAAGGGTGGAAAATATGTGTATATTTTGCTTAGCTATACAGTATATGCTTATAAAAAGTTTAAAATTTATATAAAAATAAAAGAACAGAAGAAAAAGGTTCTCTTAAATCCTGCTACCCAGAGATCCTCCCCATTCACATTTTGGTAAGCATTGTTGCAAACTCTGCATATGTGTGTATATGGGCAGTAGAGATGGTGGGGCTGCGGGTAGGTCACCAGGGTGGTATACGTGCATTTACAAAGATATATGTTCATAAGTAGGATTATTTTATAACAACTACGTTATAACACTTTTCTTGATTGATATCAAGAAGAGTCTTTCACATTAATGTTGCTAAATATACATTGTGTCTCTCTGAGTCCTAATAGATAACAGGTGGCACACTAGAATAGGATAATTGAGTGAATGTATATAGTCACAGAAAGCTCTTATAGAGGGAATCACAAGATTGGTATAATTTCCCTAGGCTTCTTGAAGTCAGACTGTTAAACCACTGCTGGGCCTGATAGAACAGGGAGGGGACCCACCTCTTGACCTTGGAGATGAGTAGAATTGGTGCCTTGAGAACAGCAATAGCCAATTTCTCAGAAAGGAAGCCTGGGAAATTGATAGCTTGACTTGACTTGTCTTTTGATTTACTGATGTGACTTCCTATTTTCTGAGCCCAACTAGAATCCAAAGTGCATGGGAGCTCTTTGGCATAATCAATAGATTGGCCCAAGGGAGAGAGCAGGGAGGACTGTGGTTCTAGAGGGGTGAACAGAAGATCTTTGACACATGAGAAAGAGGGAATCGATCACGAGCTACATACAACCCTCTCCTAGTGGGGATGGACAACAAAAACAAGTGGGTGAAGGGAGACAGTCAGTGTAAGACATGAGAAAAATAATAACTGATAAATTATCAAGGTTCATGAGGAATGGAGTGTGGAGGAGGGGGAAAATGAGCTGATACCAAGGGCTCAAGTTGAAAGAAAATGTTTTGAAAATGATTGAAATATATGTACAAATGTGCTTGACATGATGTATGGATTGTGATAAGAGTTGTATGAGCCACCAAGGAAATGATTTAAATTAAAAAAAAAAGATACTTGGCACAGATCCTCTTTTATGCGCTGCATTGTTTATGTGTAGAATACTCTGTGGTTAATAATTAACACCATATTTGTAGACAGAGTCCTCTCTCCCCTAATGTAAAAATATTCCAAAGTGTTGAGTTCAGTTCAGGGCAGCTTCCCTGTTCTGTTAATTAAACTTTGGGACATTAAAACAGGCTTGAGAAAATGACTGGGTAGAAAATATTATTCTATTCACTTTGTTCCCAGCCTACATTTTTTTTAATTAAGTAAGATAAACTTTGTTGTATGTCCATTTTTATGTAAAGGTCTGACTAACCCATTTAACAATAAATTATTATTATCTATTAACTAATAACTAACACTGCTAGTGGGAATACAGACAGGCCCTCTCCCTCAGTGAAACTTATGTCTAGTGATAGGATGAAAAACAATAAACAGTCAAACCAAATAAATAATAAGGTCAGAATGTCATAGTCTCATATACTACCGTGTGCCCATCAAAATAGTGCCTTATCGGGGATTTGCTTAGCCAATAAATTCAAGGCAGCGGGATCAGCTCAAAAGGTAAGGTGACTGATTTTAGAGATTCAAAGGGACAATCTTGCTACTTTTTCTCATAGGGTACACAGGATGAGCACAGAGACTTATTGAGTAGTTTTAAAAATATTGGAAGAGGCAAAAAAGACTGGGAAAGTTACACAGGAGTTTTCTCCCATCTTGATAGTGCTCATGCTCATTCTTCCAGGGTAGGAAGGGCTGTCCTGTGAGAATTTCATTGAGAAGCTGTATCTCATCCACCCTTCAGCCCTGAACTTGCTTCCTCAGGCTTCTTTTTGGCTCTCAAAATTCAGAGACCATTGAAAGGAGCACAGTTTGCATCCCTCAGGTATGCCACGACTGCCATAGTGTTAATTTGAGGAAACAGAACATTGCAGGGAAGGGCTAGAGCGAGGGAAGCAGCACCTTCAGAGGTGACAAGACAGAGAGAGAATATGGTGAGAAACAATAGCTTCCTATTTTGAATGTTTAATAAAGGTTTCTATGATTTTATGGTAATACTTTTTTGCTTACCCTCATATACCTGCAGTTCTCTTTGCTTAATTTAAGCCCCATATATTCATTTTTCCAACTTTCTACTGAATATTTCCACCAAGAGACACAAATTTAACACCTAAGATCAAAGTCTGATTTCCTCCTATCAAACTTCTTCTTTGTTTTATTCCGTTCATCTCTTCTGGTGTTTCACATCAAAGCATTTTGAAGTCATCCTTACTGTTTCTCATGGCCCGCCTTCAGTCCACCTTTTGTCCATAATATATCTTGAATCTGACTCTTTTCTATCATGTTAGTACAATAGTTTGAGCCATGCCCATCTCTTGCCTAAACTATTGAGAATAAAATATTCTATCAAGTCATTCTGCATCCTTTTTTCCTTCCATAAGATCTTTTTACCAATTAGCATCTAGTGGAATATATAAATCAAGGATTTTTTTCCCCCACTCTTTGCTCAGAACCTTGTAGTGGTTTCCTATCTTATTCTCAAGGAGCTCAGGTGTTGTGGTTACACGTTGGTCTTCAATCTGTGATCTGCATGGTCAGCAGTTCAAAATCAGCAGTAGCTCCACGGGAGAAAGACTAGGCCTTCAACTCCCATAAACAGTTTCAGTTTTGAAAACCCACAGGAGTCTCTGTGAGTCAGCATTGACTTGATAACAGCGAGTTTTGTTGTTGTTGAATCTAACTCCCAGTAAAGCCCAAAATCCTTACCCTGTTCTGAAAAGCCTGAGAATGCTTGGTTTATAATATTTTTGACCTTATCTGCATCTGTCATGCTGCTTACCTTATAGTTCCTAAGACACAGCAACTATTTTCCACTTGAGAAATTTTACCCATGAACCATCTGGCTCTTTCCACTTCATCCGCGTGTTTTTTAAATATCATTCTATCAAGGCCTTCTTTAGCCATTAAAATGGGCTTGAAAAATCCCCCAGTGAGTTTGTCGTTATGGAAATGTATGAGAGGCTATTTAAATTGGTACCACCTCTATGGGAAGCCATGTGGTGATGTTTGGTACAATTGAGTTGATTTTTCTACTCACATTGACTCTGTGTGACAGAGTAAAACTGTCCAACAGTCTACTAGGCCTTAATCTTTCTAAGGGCAGATAGCCAGATCTTTCTTCTGTGGAATACTTGGCAAGTTCCAATTGCCAACCTTTCAGTTAGCCAAGCATTTAACCATTGTGCCACCAAAGCTCCTGAAAGTAATGCAACTGTATATAATTTTTTTTTTTAATGCAGATCCCTTTGGCCCTGCATGTCTGTTTCTAAATACCCTCTATTTGGAGTTACATAGATAGGCAATGCCAACAATAGACACTTTAGTGTTCTTTCTCGTGTGAAAGATGGGGAACAACCTAAGTGCCCATCAGTAATGTCCTACAGTGGAATACTATGAGTGGTCGTCACGAAGAGTGAACACGAGAGTGGATTAAATTCCTTGATACTTTATTAAATAAAAAAAGCAAGATACAATCTGTATGTGGGGTCCCATCTTGTGGACGTAGTGCCTCTGGATAGGCAGTGTGAAAGACTGTATTGATTGTTGTCTCTAGGAAGTGAACTGATTCTTAGAAATATAGATCAATCTCTTGAATTCTATACCATTTCAAAGGTTAATAACATTTCCTTATACTTAGCCAGATGATCAATGTCAAATTTAATATTTATGGGCTTTGCGTAGCTTTAAAAAGTACTCTTGTCTGGTATATAAAACTAAGCAGTTAGCATCTGAGAATAGAACTTAAGTGAGAGTTTAATGACCTTTAAAATGGCAATGTTGTTTCATTGCATTCTAATCCTTTTTTATTTGTTCTGTTTTTATCCTTAGGCATTATGACTCTGTCCCCTTTTGATCAAATGAAGACTGCCTCCAATATAGGTGGATTCAATGCTGCCATAAAAAACAGCCCACCTGCCATGTCTCAGTATATCACTGTAGGGTCCAATCCATTTACAGGTTTCTTCTATGCCTTAGAGGTACGGATTTCATCACTGATAGTAGTGATACAGTAGAGATGGTAACTTTAAGCAGTTTAACTTTCAGTGGTAGCTAAAATTAATCTCAAATTCCTTTCTTCTAAGGTTAACTGAAAAGGTACTAAAGTCCATGCAAGACAAACAAATTGTGTGTTTCCAGAAGCCATGAATTCTTTGACAGCTGAGCTGTTTTTACATATTGTTATGCTCAGGAGCCTCAAGGTTACTAATGATGTTAGTCTACCAGAGATTTGAATAAATGAGGGGTTCTCAAGACAGAAAAAGTTGCCAGCTAGAGGTGATATAAGTGATAAAAATTGCTTTTTAGATAGGGAAAATTTGGATGTTAGATTTGGCAGTTTTTAAATCTTGCTTAAAACACAGCCTTCTCAGTATGATTGCCCAAATTAGAATTTTACTTTTATTTTTCTAAAAATAATAATGGGGAAATGAGCCATTGCATGTAGCTTGAAAATCCAGTGCCCAGCTAGAAGAATGTTACCTTGACATCCTAATTTTAGAGTTTATTTTTAATTAAATTAAAATTTGAAGAGGGAGATCCTAAAGGTATTAATAGACTACCATTGATTATATTTTGACAGTGTAGGTTTTAAACTTTCCATTATACTGCTGCCTCCTAAAATAAAGTTTTTACTGCACCTTCTGAAAGAAGCTGAATCTTTTTGCTAGTCCAGGCTTCACTACTTTCCAAAACTTTGTTTAGTGAGCTTATTCAGAAAGTAGGTTTGTTTCTTTGCAAGCTGCTGAGTGTTCTCTTTCCAATGTTTTGTTCTGTTTCTCAGGGAAGCACACAGCCATTGTTATCCCACGTTGCACTAGCAGTTGCAAGTAAACTCACTTCTGCTTTATTTAATGCTGCCAGGTAATTATATAAAAACGTCTAATTTGTAGCTTATGTGGTCTTCACTTGCATTTTGATAAGTCTGCATTTTGAAACTGAAGCCCTGCTTTAATGCCTGAATTTCTCCCTTATCTTAAGTGGTTGGCTCGGCTGGAAAAGTAAACATGAAGAGGAAGCAGTCCAAAAGCAAAAGCCGAAGGTTGAACCAGCTACCCCATTAGCTGTAAGGCAAGTCTGTGATGTTCTTCTTGAATGTCGGTACTTTTAGAAAGTGCTGTTAAATTTAGGGTCTATCAGTGTGCTGACGTGACTGAATGGTTGGTCTCATGCCTTTGGAGCTTCTAGAAATCATTGATGTGGGATTTTTTTTTTCTCATTAGAATGTAAGCTCCATAAGGCAGTGGTTCTTGCCTCATTTGTTCATTGCTTTCTCCAGCCATATAATAGGTAGTAAATATTTAAGTGTATTTACAAACATATAAACAACTTAAGCTGCAAAGGAAAATTAGTTTAGTTATAGCTGTTGAATATCTTTCTTGAAAGATTCAGGAACTTTCTCATAAAAATACTTACTGTATCACCTAGCAAAGACTTAATGATCTCTTTAAAAATATATCAGGATTCACATACCTGAATTCTTCATGCTGGCTTATGCTTCCCTGTCCATTTCAGCAGAGCATAGGTTATGTAAAGAGCTCTGACAATATAATGGGTGGTTAAGCACTGGGTTGCTAACTGCAGGGTTGATGGGGGTGGATGGTTCAAACCCACCAGCCACTTTATGGGAAAAGGATGAGGCTGTCTGCTCCCATAAAGATTTACAGTCTCAGGAACCCTGAGAAATAGTTCTACTCCATCCTTAAGTGTCACTGTGGGTCAGTAGTGACTAATTGACAGTGAATGTATAGGTTGTATTACCGTATTTGTAATGTTTTTCTTGGGGGACGATATGAGTTTAAAGTGGGTTTACTAAGTCACACAAACTACTGCACCGAGGGAAGTAGAACCTATGTCTCTGCTTCTTTCAGATGTTCTTCATTTATGAGGCTGTTCTGAAATATTCTTCATTACATGTTCTATTTTGTTGGTTTGAAACTAGCTCATGGGGCATAAAAGAATTCAAGTCCATTTCCATTTTACTTGTAATCCTTTTATAATCACTCAGATCAGTGTTTAAGTCTGCTGGGTAAGGAATCTGGAGGGTTTTTAAGACTTTAGCCCTTCTGTCTGTCTGCCTGTCTCTCTGTCCTCTAAGTTTAAATTTATTTTGTATTTCTTTGATTTGTGGGCTCCAACACATTCAGAGAAAAGCATGCTCTATGTAGTTGCACAGTCCATCACATCAACAGTGTATTTTACATTTTATTGTAACACATTCGCCAAGAATCAAGAAGTAAGCCAAACAGACCTAAGTTTCCTGCACTGATGAAACAAAATCCGTGCTTTCTAAGAGGCCTAATTCAAAAACACTGCCATTGAGTGTATTCTGACTCATAGGGACCCCATACAGGTTTCTGGGATTTTCACTCTTTAAAGAGCAGAGACAGCTTCATCATTCTCCCTTGGAGCAGCTGGCCTTGTATTTAACAGCCTAATGCTTAACCCACAGCACTACCAGAGATTCTTAGACAAGCAGTTAAAAAAAAATCACTGCCATCGAGTCAATGCCAACTCATGGTCATGCTATAGAACAAGGTAATTACCCCATAAGTTTCTGAGGTGGTCTAACTCTTTAGGGGAGCAAAAAAACCCCTCTTTCTCTTGCAGACTGATTGGTGGTTTAGAACTGCTGACTTTTAGGTTAGCAGCCCAGTGTGTAACCACTACACCACCAGGACTCCTTACATAAGGAATACGAACTTTAAAATACTCAGAAGCAACAGCCCAGATGGAAGAAGCACACCAGCCTGTGTGATCGTGAGGTGTAGATGGATCAGGTATCAGGCATCTAAGACCCAGAATAAAACCATACCCAAGGTGAATGGGGGTGGGGGGCGGGCATGGAGTGGAAACCTAACGCCCATCTGTAGCCAATTGGACATCCCCTCACAGAGGGGTCACAGGGAAGGGATGAGCCAGTCAGGGTACAGTATAGCACTGATGAAACACACAACTTTCCTCTAGTTCTTTGGTGCTTCCTTCTCCCCACTATCGTGACCTCAATTCTATCTTACAAATAGGATTAAACCAGAACATGCACACTGCTACAGATAAGAGCCCGCAACACAGGGAATCCAGGATAGATAAACCCCTTAGGGCCAACAAGGAGAGTAGAGATACCAGGAGGATTAGGGAAGGGGGAGGGGCCAGAAAGGGGGAATCAGTCACAAGGATCGACCTAGAACCTCCTCCCAGGGGGACGAATAATGGAAAAGTGGATGAGGGGTGACGGAGGACGATGTAAGATACGGAAAAAATTATCTATAACTTATCAAGGGTTCGTGAGGGAAGGAGGGGGAAGAAATGGAGAGCTGATATCAGGGGCTCAAGTGGGAAGAGAATGCTTTGAAAATAATGGGGCCATATGTGCAAATGTCCTTGACACATTGGAAGAATGAATGGATTGTGATAAGAGATGTAAGAGTCCCAAATAAAAGTATTAAAATAAATAAATTGGGGGGGGGGGCTTAAAAATAGACAAAAATGCCAGTGTAGAGGCAAAGTCCTAAAATTTAGTAGATTGTAAGGATATTGTTTTCTATTACATAAACGTTTACCCAAGGTATAGTTATATTTAGTATTCTAAAAAAAATAGGGTTTGGGTATTATGGATAGAAAACCTATGATTTCATCAGACTTTTTTTTAATTTTAGAATAAGTATTAAAATGCATTTTTATTAGACAGTGTTGGGTGTCACCAGTTAATAAGTTAACTGTAAACAACAGTGTTCATGTTTACATAAATGAATGTTTGATTTATTTTGTTTATGCATTTTATTTCTCTAGATTAGAATGTGAATTGAGTTTGCTTTTGGTTTTATTTTTGAATATCAGATTTGGACTTCCAGATTCTAGGCGCCATGGAGAAAGTATTTGTCTGTCTCCATGTAACACACTGGCAGCTGCAACAGATGATTTCGGGAGAGTTATTTTGTTGGATGTAGCCAGAGGAATTGCAGTACGCATGTGGAAAGGTATTCCTTAACAAAAATTGAGATTAAAAAGTTAATTTACTTTTAACCCAAAATCAAGCAATTGCATGATCTTTCAGCTTCAGGTTGTAACAGTTTAATCTTTATTACTACTTTTGTAAAATAAATTCACATCGGCACTTTATTCAATAGTGCAATTGACATGTTCTTTAAGTTTGATCACTTCTTAAGCACTTTAAACTTCTTTCTTACACATTCATTTCATTTCTGTCATTGGCAATTCTAGAATTCATCTTCTGGCCTCCACATTTAATCTATCTCACAGGCTGTTCTTTTGCCTCATTATCTCTGCAAATCTAGAATGCTAAATCTTTCTAATTTAAGATAACACAACTCAGCAAAATCCATTTATCTGCTCAGCAAACTAAGGGAGTTGAATAGTAGAAAATCAGATTTATCTTTTACGTGTGTGTGTGTGTGTGTGTGTGTGTGTGTGTGTGTGTGTGTAAGTAATGTAGGTGGAAAAAAATGTACTTAAAAAAATAGCCCTGTTTCAAACATATAAGTCAATGACTTTAATCACATTCATTCTGCTGGTCAACCATTACCAATATCTATTTCCAAAAATTTTGAAACCTCACACAGAAACTCAGTACCACTTAAACAATAACTCATTTCCCCCTAATCCATGATAACCACTACTAAACTTTGGTCTACATGAATTTGCCTGTTCCAGATATTTCATACTAGTGGGATCATACACTATTTATCCTTTTTTGTGTGACAACCTCATTCAGCATAATACTTTCAAGGTTCATTCATGTTGTAACATGTATCAGAGCTTTCTCTTTACGACTGTACAATATCCTGTATGTCTGCACAACAGCTTGTGTACCCATTTCTTCTGTGGATGGGCACTGGGGTTGTTTCTACTTTTTGAGTGTTATGAAGGGTGCGGTGATGAGCATTGGTGTACTTTTGACTTTGAGTACTTGCTTTCAAGTCTTTGGGGGCATAAACCTAGAAATATAATGACTGGATATTTTAATTGGAATTTCATTTTAAATCTAAACTAGTAAACCTCCACAGAAATTTAAAGGAAAGGAATCTTAAGATTTAATAAGATATAGTAATAGATTCATTATTCTCTACTGTTCTCTTTAAGATACTTCAAAAGACAAAGATAATGTACTTTTATAGTTTTTTAGCCCCTCCCCTAATGTTGCATAGTGCTTAAGAGACCACTTATGAACCTAAATAAATGAACTAACTTCCATTTCCTCTTTCTCCAAGGGTACCGAGATGCACAGATTGGATGGATCCAAATCGTAGAGGATCTCCACGAAAGAGTACCAGAAAAGGTGGATTTGTCCCCCTTTGGAAATACTCATGGTCCAAGTCGTGTAGCTCAGTTTCTTGTGATCTATGCTCCCCGAAGGGGCATACTGGAAGTGTGGGGCACCCAGCAGGGACCTCGAGTCGGAGCTTTCAATGTTGGAAAGCACTGTCGGTAAGCGGAAAACCTAGGCATTTTGCTAATTTTGAAAAGATGTAGGAATGCTTTTACTAAAATTATAATAAGCTGGGTCACAAATTATGTGAGAATGGCAGTGGTTGTTATTGTGTTTTTTCCTAAGAGTGCCCAGTATATAATTAAGAAAGAAGTATTTAATAACAGACATTTCTAATCCTTCTGCTGTGGTGGTACTAAGTAAAAAGTCTGTTAAATTCACACGTAATGTGGTCCAAATGTCAAGTGGTCCAAATGGTTACACACTTGATTACTAACAAAGTTTGGCAGTTCAAACCCACCAAGAGGCTTCTTGGAATACAGGCCTGTTGATGTGCACACATGAGATTTCATGACCCAGAATTGACTTGACCACAGCAATATATTGAAGTCACTGCTTCATTAGCCTTTAACTGTGTTTAATTTCTAGTGCATTCTAATAAAGTAGGAAAACACTGCCATTCTAGCCCTGCTTTATTTAAAGGCTTTCTTTTCAGTCAGTATGAATGTGCCTGAGTGATTTCTTTTGAATCATTATTAACGTAAAGTAACCTATAAGGAAAGCATCTTTTCTCAATTTCCTAAAACAGTTACCATATTGGTGTATGATTCCCATAGGCTTCTGTATCCTGGCTATAAAATAATGGGCTTAAATAATGTGACCAGCCAGAGTTGGCAGCCTCAAACTTACCAGATATGTCTTGTTGACCCAGTGTCTGGAAGTATGAAAACCTTGAATGTTCCTTTCCATTTAGCACTGAGGTAAGGATTATTAAAAATCTGCTAAATGTTATTAATCCTTTATTGTGCTTTCTGATAATCCTTTATTATCTCTAATGAAAGTATGTAATGGAAAAAGAAATTTGGAATGTATCCAAATTAGAAGGAAACCTTAATTTCACATCCTGGAATAATTTGTTGCTTTATTTTAGTGACAAAAAGAGTGAACGGGCCAAAGACATGCACTTAGTGAAGAAACTAGCAGCCCTATTGAAAACAAAATCATCTAATCTAGGTAGGTATCCTTTAACAAAAAGGAAAATATACTGTTTTTTCAGATTAATAGAAAATTCTAAATGGAGGAGAATAATGGAATGAGATAGAGTCCAAGTATTATCAGGTGTACTTTTATTGGAATTACTCTGTAAAGATTAAGTGCACCTTCTAGATAGATTAACATATGTGACAATAAAATAATGAGCTAGAAACCAGAAATTCTTTAGAAAGACTGGTAGTACAAACATGAACATTTTTGTTTCAGAATAAAATCTACTAGCAAAAATATTGAGAATTTTATTTTGATTTCTTTTCTAGATTTAGTTGAAACAGAAATAAAGGATTTAATTCTTGATATTAAGTATCCTGCAACGAAAAAGCAAGTAAGTGCATGGACTGTTCTGTTGAATAGGTGTGACATTTTGCACTTAAGAAAATATTTTTCTTTCTCTCTACAAATACAACAGTGCAAACTTCTTTTTTCTTTTTTTTTTTTTATGCTAACTGCATCTGCAATGGTCTACTTTGCCATGCTCTCTGCATGATAACAAGGTTATCTTCACATCCCTGATCCATGGTCAGGAGAGAGTCCCCAGAGGCTTAATCCACGTGTACTTCCCCTTCACTTTTATTTAAATCAAAACAACTTTAAAAGGAGTCAAAAGGTAGATAAAATGATAAGTTATTGCATTTTAACCTGAGGAATCCCAAAAATAGACCTTGGAACTGGTGGGCAGGATGTGGCACTTCACCAGACTAGATTGGAAAACACTCAGAAGGGTCTGCAGACAGACCTGGAACTATTTATAGGGTTGGGTTTTTTGGTGTGTTGTGTTTTTGGGTCCCCCCCCCCTTTTTTTTCTCTCTTATGTCTAGCCATATAGGATAGGTAAGATAACCATTCCCAAGGAGAAAACAACGGGACCAGTTGCTCTGGGAAAACATGGGAAAGGAGGAGGTGGGAGAAAGGGAAGGGGGAGCCAACAAACACAAGGTTAAGGGAACAATAAGAGATTTTAAATTGATGGCAAGGAGGGCTTAGAATGCCTAATGGAGTTTGATAAAGTGCAGTGTAGCTGAGAAAAAGTACTCAGAGTCAAACGATGGTCAAACATGATAGTGGAACAGAAGGAAAGTAAAAAGAAATAGAGGAAAGATCTAAGAGACAAAAGACATGTATAGAGGTATAAATATAGGCATGTGTATATGTAAATATATTAATGTATAATGATAGGGATATAGGTCTATGTGCATATATTTAAATGTTAAACATTAAGGTAGCGGACAGGCATTGGGTCTCTACTCAAGTTACCCCCTCAATGCAAGAACACTTTGATCTAATACCCTGGCATTCTTTGATGCTCACCTTCCTGACACGATTGCTGAAGTTAAAATGGGTGCTTAAGCAGATGTGGTGAAGTAAGCTGATAGTGCCTGGCTTTAGATGGTATAGTGTCTGGAGTCTTAAAGCCTTGAAGCTAAGCAGTCTAGCAGGGAAGCAACAAAACTCCCACGGAAGAAGCATACCAACCTGTGTGATCACGAGGTGTCAACAGCATAAGGTGTTAGGCATCAGAAGACCCAAAACAAACAAATACATTGATGGAGGTCAGAGAGGAGACCCAAAGCCTATCTGTAGACATTTGTACATTCCCTCACAGAAAGGGTCACAAGAAAAGAGCGAGGCAGCCAGGGTGCAGTGCAGCACCGATGGAACATACAACATTCCTCTAGCTCTTTAATGCTTTCTCCTCCCCACTATCATGACCCCAGTTCTACCTTACAAATCCAGCCAGACTGGACATATACAGAGAAGAGCTCTCAACACATGGAATCCAGGACAGATAAACCCATTAGGAACAGCAATGGGAGTAGCGATTTCATGAGGATAGGCGGAAGGTCGGGGAAGAAACAGGGAACCGATTACAGTGATGTATAATCCGCTCCCTGGCGGGGGACAAACAACAATAATGTGGATGAAGGGAGACAGCAGGAGGTGTAAGATATGAAAATAATAGAAATTTATAATTTATCTGGGCCCATTAGGGTGGGAAGGTGGGAGATGGTGTGGGGGAAGGAGCTGATACCAAGAGCTCAAACAGAAATATTTTGAAAATGATGAAGGCAACTTAGAAATGTGCTTGATACAATTGATGTATGGATTGTTGTAAGAGCTGTAAGAGCCCCCCATAAAATGATTTATTCATTTCTAAAAATTACGTTTTAACCTATGTCCTCTGTAATCTTTGTGATCTTTGTCTGATAAGACAAAGTGATCTTAGTCTGATGATAAGACCATTCACATCCCTCAACTAAGGTAAGAGCAGATTCATCAGACACTGAATCCATATGTGAACCCTACAAATGGATTTTGGGCTTCCACTGTTGTCCATTGCCTTTTGTAGACCACGTGTTTATAATTTACTATTACCTTTGGGTTTTGATTTTATTTACAATCTTTGGATAATACAAGCTTGTGTGCTTCTCCCACGTGGACTTAGTTGATGTTTCATTTAGATGGTTGCTTGTTTGAAAATAAACCTTATGACCCCAGATGGTATTCTTTCTGACATCCAGGCAACATCAAGTTTCTTCTGTACTCTTTGATGTAGTACCCATATCTTTAGAATTAAGTGCGTGCCCTAAATCCATTTATTTATCTATGATTTATACATGCCCCTGGTTCACTTTAGAGGCATAATTATCACTTTATGTTAGACGACATTTTCAATCATCTCCCTGGGGCATAAAGCATAAGGTTTTATTGTCATTAAATTAGCAGTGACAGTGGAAAGTTTTCTTTTTATGTTTTTGTTCAGTTCCCTTTTTATGTTACTTTTTGAGTTTTTCTATGGTCTTTTTTCCTACAAAAAATTATATATATATCTATTTTAATGTGAGTTCATGTTTTTTACACACATATATGAGGGGGTACCTAAAAAACCCAGAATTGCACTGAGTGGAGTGAAGCTTTCACAGTACGCATTTTTCCCACCAGGCGAGCATTGAGCAACTCAATGAGTTAGTGCACCCAGTGACTTCACCTGGGAAGGTTCTCTGTGTTCACAGTGAATTTTTTCATAAAAGAAGTTTCACTTGAACTTTGTTTGTTTTTTATGCTGGCTGATTTAAGAGAACAGCATGTGGCTGTGAATTTTTGTTTCCTGCTTGGGAAATATGCCACATAAACTGTTGTCTTGTGAACACAGCTTACAAGAACAGCACTATGGGAAAAACTCAAGTGTAGAGTGGTTTTTATTATTTCAAAATTGATTAAATTTTGATTGTTGACAAACCGTGTTCTGAATGCTGACAAAGTCCCGAATGGATGAAAATGTATTGCATTTGGAGTTCGTTCCACCAGGTTAGACTGTTAATCAAGCTTTCTATTTAGAGGTTCTTAAAAGATTGCATAACAGTGTGCAATAAAAAAGTCTTGATTTGTGGGAGATGGGACTGGTTTTGCCACCATGACAGTGCACCTGCTTATACCACTACCTCAGTGCACTAGTTCTTGGAAAAACACAGCATGCTTCTCTTGCCCCATGCACCTTACCCTCCTGACTTTGCTCTATGCGACTCTTTTTGTTTCCACGAATGAAGAGGGACATGAAAGGACGATTTGATGACATTGAAGAGGTGAAGAAAAAAGCAAAGGTGCTGTCAGCCATCCAAACGGATGAGTTTGGAAAATGTTTCCGAGAATGGAACCACAGATTTAGCCAGTGTATTCAGTGTAATGGAGAGTACTTTGAAGGTGATAGTTGTTTTGTAAAGAAATTTAAACACATAACTTTTGGGGGGAAACTCCTTGAACATACACATATCTATTCATAACAAGTTCAACATAGGAAATAATGATAAAACTTCTGTGTGTGGCCACCCACTCCTCACTCCTGTTGTCTTTTACTCTCATCCCCATGGTAACTACCTATTCATAATCTTGTGTTTGTCTTCCCTTTTCTTTGTCTCTCACTTTCATGGATCTTTAAAATAAATCTATGCATTTTTTGTATTTGTAATCTTTAAAAAGGTGGAGAATTGGTTATGCGTTCTTTTGTTTTATTTTTTTCCCTTCACCAATTCTCCCTTCTGAGAATCATTCATGTTAATGTCTGTGGCTATAGTTGATTCTTGTACTGCTATATGAATTCTACTCAATGGCTATAATTAATTTACCTAGTGGACATTTATTTCTCTTAGTGGACACTTGAGTTTCCCTCCTTTCTTTTTGCTCTTACAAATAATCATTATTCTTGAATATATATATATATATACATATATATGCATATATACGTATATATGTGTGTGTGTATATATATATATGTATGTATGAATGTGTCTTTTATTATTATACCTGAAAGAGAATTGCTGAATTATGAGCTTTACTACTTTGATAAGACTGTTTGCCCAAAATACTTGTGCTGATTTATGCTTCCACTTGTATTATATAAGAGCCCATATTGGCCCAAAACTTCAACATCTCATGACATTGTCAGATTTTCTACTTTTTTCCTGGCTTATAGATGTAATGCGGTGACGACTCATTGTGATTGCTTTTGCTCTTGTTTCTCCTATCCAAACTCCTTACAAGGCTGCTCTCGTTCTAAGGCCATTAAATCTTACAGGACATGTCAGTCCCCGTGAACACCGTGGGACTCCAGTAGAGAGGTCAAAACCCAACCTTTCTTTTATCTTCCTATCTTGCATTACAGAATAATGAAATTGGGACATCTAGCACAGTACAAAACACCTTCTTGATTTTTGTATATAAAACTATGAACGTTTAAATGAATGTTAAAAAATCCAGGAGCACAAGCTGTGGGCTGTTTTACCACATGAAGCAAGAAACCAGTTTAGGTTTGTGGAAGTGAAAAATAAAGAGAGGAAGCCATGCATAATCATAGACAGGACAGAGTGGTGAAGCCGCATTTGTCCTGGGACCCTTCCTCTTCCAGTCACTTTGATTGTATCTCTGAGCAACCTGTTAACCACCGTCAAAGCCTGCTTATCACAAACCAGTGGAAGTTTTTGTGATATGATTTTGTACTTGCCTCAGAGCACAAGCTAGTATTTAAACTCTTTAATTTCCTTGGATTATAATACACTTTAATGATATGAAAAGATACGTGTGAATTTAACTGCTATGCCTAACTTACTGTTGTTTCTAAAAGTTGCTACTTTAGGCATGACATTTTGGGACTGGCAATGAAGCTGTCTTAAATATATACCAAGCGACTTCGGGTTTGATAGGATAAGGTAGGGAACATAAAACTCTAGCATGACCTGTAGATTCAAACAGCCATGTTCCAATGCAGTAATTAAGCTATAGACCAGTTGTGCTCAATTATAGCACATAATGAATTATACTACTAATTACCTCTTTCTATCGTATAACTTACTCAGACTCTTCCTATTGGTTGAAAGCTTTATCTCTCTGTGACATCTGTTGCCTTCTAGTTACTGTATTTTCAGGATATACTTTTTGCCATTTTACCCTATTGGTCATGTTACAAAGTTGCTTATTTACAAGGCACCTTTAATTTTCGCTATGTATACAACACATCTTAAGATGTATACATCTAGATATGGAGCTTCTCTTTAAAATATTATATCATAAAGATGTTTTGTTGCTGCTGTTGGGTGCTGTCAAGTCAATTCCAACTCATAGTGACCCTTTGTCCAATAGAACAGAACACTGCCTAGTCCTGCAACATCCTTACAGTGTTCCTATGTTTGAACCCATTGTCGCAGCCACTGTGTCTGTCCATCTTGTCAAGCATAAATATATTAAAATATAAAACCCATCAGTGTATTCTCATTACTAAAATTATACAATGTCTTTCTTCTAGGCATTGGAAAGCATTTTGGCAAGCGAACGTTTATCATTTTCCTGCCTTAGAAACATCACTCAGACTGTAATGGATACTTTACAAAATCAAGGTATTGGATTTTTACCAATTGGAGGTTTTAGTCTCACTTTATAATTTTATAGTTCTCTTTATAGAAAATTATAAACTGCTTATAATAGCATCATGCTACTGTAGGTGGAAAAATACATATGTGAGGGCTTCAAAAAGTTCATGGAAAATCTCCATTATTCTTCAGTTCCATTTTCCCATGAACATTTTGAAGACCCTTGTATTAGAAATAAGGAAACTTATTTCACACCCTTGATATTTGAGGACCTTTCCCTCCCCCATCATTTATTATATGCAGCAAATCTTCAACTAAGCTTTCTGTTAATTTTTATTTAATGCTGTTATTAGGAGAAATATTTTTTTTCTTTAATTGCTCTCCTGTGAGGAAAGATCCCTGTATAGCTTGATGAGAAATGCTTAATCTGATATAGAACATTGTAGAAGTCATTGGCATGAGAGGACAGTTAGCAAGTGGTAAATAGATGCCAGCCAGGTTCCCTTTTTTTCTTCTCCTTTTATAAATCATTTTATTGGGGCTCAGCCAGGTTCCCTTTTACTGCCATTGTCTTTGATTTAACTTTGGATTGGAGACAGGACAGGTTACTACTTAGGCAGATAGAGCATTTTTAAAAAACAGTGTTATTTTGACGAAGTGAGTGACCAGAAATATGTACTCTTTAGTATAACAAGAGTTCCTGTGACATCCACATTTTCTCATCCATTTCCCTTGTGAGCAGGTTTGGGACTTCCAGTTTCACAGAGCTGCCTGGAGAGATTTTTAGTGTTCAGAATTTACTCATTTAAGGAGTACCTCTGAACATGTGGGATTGTCACTCCATATTGTCTCCATTGAGTGAACGAAATTCATTTTATTCAGAATTCTTAATTACATTGTGGTATAATACTGACTTTTATTTAGACAATACTTCAGCTTCTGCTTACCAGTTTAATTATATAATTATATAAAGCTTTGTTTGTATTTATCTAGCTTAATGTGACTTTATAAACAAATATGAATATACCTTTTCAGAACTTTACCAATTCTAATTTTGAGACTTTTTCCATTGTTAACTTTTCTGAGCAAATATGTAAGGCTGACTTTTCATGAAAGAGAAATCCATGCAATTTTTAGGAATAGTTCTTCTTATTAAAAAACAACAACAGTATATTTGTAAAACTCCTCTCCCAACACTTTAACAAACTCTCAAAATTTATTAAGTAAATAAGGGGAGAGAGTAAACCAAACACCATTGTTGGAGTTAAATAAACCATGACTGGTTTAAAATTCTAGCCATAAATTAGATACATAAAAGTTTCAAGTATAAGGCAACAGCGAGAAAAAAAAAAATTCAAGTATTTAAGTATCCTAACTTTCATTATGGCTGTAAGAACTTGGGACAGTATTTCATATTACTTTATCTCAAATAAGAGTTTTTGGAGTTTTCAATGTCTGCATTTTTAAAGAATAAATATATGTTAATTAAATGCAAATAATTATGGATTAAATGTAAACACATTATTATACAGAAATGTATTCTAAAAAGTGATACTTCTCTAGCATGAGCCCTAAAATTATATAAAACCTTATTTAAGGGGCCCTTAAATAGAATTTTTCTTTTGATCTCTTAGCCAGACTTTTTTTTTCTTAGCTAGACTTTTAAAAAATCATGCTAAATATATATTTAACAAAATATTTTTCATTTTAGTATTCTTACATGTACAGTTCAGTGATATTTCATCATTCTGATCACCTATCGCCCTTACTGGTTCCCAAATTTTTCTCACAAATTGCCAAGTTCTCACCACAATACACAGCTTCTGATTGAATTTTATTATCTTTGACAGCCATGATAACAAGAACAATACCACTGCCACATTCTAGAGTTAGTTCTAACTCCTAACCACCTTGTATAGCATAAATCTTTATGGGATCAGATAGCCCCATCTTTTTTCCAAGGACCAGCTGGTAGTTTTGAACCATAGACCTTGTGGGTTAGCAGCCCAAAGTACTTATCCCACAGCATCACCAGAGCTCCTTTAAGAAAAACAAAGCATCTTCATATTTGTATATCCTTGGTGTATGAGCATAACACACAGGTTTTGAATTATAGAATGAGGGATAATTTTATTTTTTATTTTTAGATCACTTTAAATTTGAGTATTAGATTAAAATATTTCTTCCCACTGTTATGCCACTCATAGCACCTTATTTGTCATTATGGAAAATGATATATGCTTTTATTAATTGTAGCTGAAGCATCCCAATATTTAATTCAACAGAACATCAAAGCATTGTATAGCAGTTAGACTTTGTGAAAGAAAGCATTTTTGAGTCTCATAAGTATATATCTTTTTAATGTGTTTTTCTCTGCCTCTTAGAACTTGAGTATGTTGATGAAGGATTGCTACAGTTCTGTGCCAATAAACTGAAACTGCTCCATCTTTATGAGTCTGTCAGTAAATTGAATTCCCTTGATTTCCATTCAGATACACCATTCTCTGATAATGTGAGTAATCGCAAATTTTGTCACCATATGAAATAATATCATTAATGATATTTTAAAGTTTTGTAACAAGAGCTGTGTTAGTTTGGGTTGACTAGAGAAACAAATCCAGAGACACTCATGTAAGAGAAAGCTTTATATCAAAGAGTAATAGTATATTAAGAAAATATCCCAGCCAAGTTCATAAGTCCAATATTAGCCCATATGCCTGATACTAGTCCATAAACTCCTCTTAAGACTCATGTAGCCACTCAGAATGTTACCGAATGCAGGAAGAACACAGGCCGATGGGTGAGAAGTCTTGTGGATCCAATGGCATTTGAAGCATCTCCAGAGCTGCCATCAGTGTGGCTCCATGTGGCTTGTCAACTCCATGTGGCTTGTCAACAAGAATGTGTAACAGAGAAAGAGTGCATCCAACCTCCAGGGAGAAAGAGAGGAAGTTCCCAGAATCCTTATGAGAAGGCAGCACCCACCAGGAAGCATCATCAGGCTGTGTCCTTTTTGACAGCCTAGACTCCACCCCATTCACTCTATCAAGTTGCACGAAATTATATAACTACCACAGAGCTAGAAGCAAAAACTAAGAATTATTTTTAAATCTTAAAGGTATATTACTTTATGCTGGAATGTGCCCTGCTGCTAAATTTATATTATTTATGCCATAGTACTAAATTCGATTGCTGATCCAGTTTTATTGGATTTTATTTTATTAGTCTTTGGTCTTTCTTAACTCATTTCTTTCTCTTTTAAAAAAAATCTTTTTATTGGGGGCTCATACAACTCTTATCATAATCCACACATATATCAATTGTATAAAGCACGTTTGTACATTCATCACCCTCATCATTCTCAAAACATTTGCTCTCCACGTAAGCCCCTGGCATCAGCTCCTCATTTTTTCTTAACTCATTTCTTAAGCTATTTTTTTCTTTCTTTTTAAAAGCATTTTCTTCATTCTTGTATCTTTATTTGCTCCCCATTTCCCCCACTCACACCGCCATCACCCTAAGAAACTATTAATTTAGTTACTATTGCTATAGATTTACCTATCCTGGATTTCAAATAAATAAAATTGTTCCCAAAAAACCTATGAGCATTAACAAAATGAAACACAGATAAATTTCAAACCAAAAGGAAGCATAAAATAAGTTAAAAATAGGTCAAAAGGGAAACAAATGGTAAGATACTAAATTTTAAGGTAACTATATTATATCTGGAGTTATCCATTGTTCAGTACACTATGTCTGAGAACAAAACTTTTCACATATCTGGTCAATGGACCAGGGGAGTTCAGTGTAGACTTAATCCATGTGGGGACGCTGCAAATGGGTTTGGGCTTTCACTATCATTGATAGACTTCTGCAAACTGGATGCTCAGGATTTAAGTTCTAATAAATTCCCTCCTCTGATCTTGGATTTTATTATTTCTAATCCTTGGATCACATAGACTGCAGTACTTTTTCCATATGGACTTAGCTGACACCTCAGATAGCGATTTAAGACAGGCATTTAAGACCCTAGGCAGTTTATCATGGTTACTTATTAATACAGTGGTTCTCAAACTTCCTAATGCAGCGACCTTTTAATAGAGTTCCTCATGTTGTGGTGAAACACCCCCCCCCCCAACCATAAAATTATTTTCATTGCTACTTCATAACTGTAATTTTGCTACTGTTATGAATCGGGCAACCCCTGTGAAAGGGTTGTTCAGCCCCCACATGAGAACCGCTGCTATATGGGGTTTCTGAGGCTGTAATCTTTACAGGATCAGATAGTCTCATCTTTCTCCCAAGGAGCAGGTGGTGGGTTTGAAACTGCTGGCCTTGTTGTTAGCAGTCCAATGCTTACCCAGCCCCACCACCAGCACTCTTCCTCTGAGGGAAGAGTGGAACAATACTTCTATTATCTCTTAGAAGCCCATCACCTCCCTTGGCGGGAGTGGGGGGGCTCATAAGTCAGCAGTACTACACTGCAATAAAAATTGCAAGATACTGTCATTTTTCTCATGTTACATATAACTAAAACATAGAACATTAATTTTAATGATTAGCTACAATTATACAAATTTTGATGCAAGACAATTATTTTGAAATGTATTTCCTATGTAGTTCAAAACCAATTATGCATTTGCTAGCAAATGCAAAAATGGCAAAAAGAACAACCTGGATTTTTTGGTTTTGCAGAATTATAATAATTTTTTCCTTAGAAGAAATTCAAATTCTGCCATTTCAATACACTGAATATATAATTGGCAAAATTTATCCAGAAGATGTATTAGTACAGTGGTTCTCAACCTGTGGGTCGCGACCCCTTTGGGGGGTCACACGACCCTTTAACAGGGGTCGCCTGATTCACAACAGTAGCAAAATTACAGTTATGAAATAGCAACGAAAATAATTTTATAGTTGGGGTCACCACGACATGGGAAACTGTATTAAAGGGTCGCGGCATTAGAAAGGTTGAGAACCACTGCTCTAAAGGAAGATTACTATTAAAGTAAATTTAATGACTTGTCAATCTATCTATCATATTTTTTTGTTTTTCAATTATCTAGTATAGTTGAACATTCAATAACGTTTAAGGTAAACTTTTTTTCATTTTACAAACATGCATTCGAGGGGACTTCCAAAAGTTCATGCAAACCTTCTCTTACCATTTAATTCCTTGTTCTCTACAAATATTCTGAGCAAATACACAAGGATAAATAAAAGTGTTGCATCTAAGCTTCCAGTTCATGTAGGAATGTACTTATTTTTAAGTATTTAAGCATGTCTCTGATTAGTGAATGCTTGTGGACAAGTTTTCTCAGTAATTACAGTTGTCTTAGTGCCTTAAAAATAAAGGCCAAACAAGACAGGGACTTGTGAGTGGCTCTGCTGCATAAGTTACATTCAAGGCAGTGAGGTCAGCTTATAATGTTACTGAGACTGGTTTTTAGAATTCCAAAAAAGTAATTTGATAGATTTTTTTCAAAGGGCATGACACAGTTACAGAGCTTATCGTGATAAATTTTAAAGGAAACTTAAAACTTCATTGGGGAAAAAAGGCCAGGATTGTTGGCCCTGAGGAATTTTTTCCATCACAACAACATATCTAAGCTGAATGTAATTTTGTATATAAAAAACAAATTTAAATGAACTCATTTTTGCTGTCTGTGGAGCATATTGCATGTAAGTTCAGTCCAGTCAGCTTTCTATATATGTAAGTTTCACATCAGCTGATTCAACCAACCTCACAAGGAAAGTACTTTTTAAAAGGCAATTAAGTAATCAGAACACTCCCTCAAAGACTACGGGGGAGCATAAAATGCTATTTATTTAGCATTTATATTGTATTAGGTATTACAAATAATCTATAAATAATTTAAAGTATTCAGGGGCAGTGCTAAAATTATATACACATACTATGCCATATTCTATAAGGGACTTGAGCATATATAAATTTGATATCTGTTGGGGACCAGGGGCCAATCCCCAGAGGAATGATGGGTGTGTATCACTGAACTGACAAATATCTCTCAGTGATGTGTTTAATAGTATGTATTTCACAGATTACACTTATATTTTAAAAATAGCAATTTAAAGTCGTGAATAAATGAAACTAATCTTGTGTAGGGGAAATAAAACTGTGCTAGCTGTGTTAGACCAGGGGGACTAGAGAAACAAATCCACGGATGCACAGGTATGTGTAAGAGAGAGCTTTTTATCAAGAACTAATTATATAGCAAGCAAACATCCCAGTCAAATCCGTAAGTCCGACCAATATGCCATAAGTCTCATACTAGTCCATAAATCCCTCATCCCTCTTCAGACTCACACCGCCACATGCAGTGACGCAGATTGCTGGAAGATCAAAGGCTGGTGGGTACAGTCTTGTAGATCCAATGGTGGTAGACACATCTACAGGGTTCTGGATGCCATCAGTGGGGCTTGAAGTAGCTCATCAACAGCAGGAAGGTGAAACAGAGAGGGTGTGGCCCATCTCCAAGGAGAAAGGGAAAGAGACTGGTCTCAGAGCCAGTTATCTCTGTTGCCCTCCAATCAAGCTGCAAGTTGATTGACAAGCTCATCTCCACTCACATGTTGCCACAAAAAACCTATCATACATTTTCATAAAATGATAATTTAATGGTCTTTTAAGCTTGGCCATGTGATGCTTGCACTTGTTAGTGTGGCGTGTATTGAGATTTCTGTACATGTACTGTGTGAAAATAGTCTGGAAGACTGGCAGTTTGTATTTGCCTTTGTAATCTCTTCTGTATTCCTGAGAGCCACTGGAAAACTTAACCTAGAGAAAGATACAATGAGGAGTTTAGCCTGTTTTATTTTATAGTTTTTATGCTACATAATAAATAAGCATGCAATTTCAAGTAGCCTCCTCAGAACCACAAGAATTGGGATTGATACCATTATTGATTTTTTTCCGGAGTATATAATATATATGCTTATCAAAATTAAAACATGTTTATAATAGTATATAGTGTCTTAAGGTTTGTCTCTTTTACTTAGACTACTCATGACGTGGTAATTTGATAATAAAATTTGAAGCAGTACATGACATTACAAGTACTACATTAGGAAATGAGTCATGTTAGCTTACCTTAAAAGTAGTTTACTGCTCTGCCACTAATGGCTTTGATTTCAATTTAGATGATGGATGTTAACCTAAAAGGAGACATAGCTCATTCTGGGTTATTTTCCCTTTGTTTTTAAGGACTTGGCTGTGTTACTAAGGCTTGATGAAAAGGAATTTCTAAAACTTCGGTCATTATTAGAGACGTATAAGCAAGAGAACACCAGGACTTCTGTCCGGTTTTCTGATGATCAGGATGGTATGTTGTCTGTAGAAACATTTCTGGAGTATTTGGAATATGAGAAAGATGTGATCAGCATCAAGAAGATAACGGAACAGGAATATGTGGCTTTAGGTAAGTAGAATGATGCATTGTTCTTTGAATTGTCTCTCTTCAGAAGAAAGCCTGTTAGGTGAATGCAATATCTCAAAGATTTTCTATTTGTTTTTAAATTAAGTAAAGATTTAATGTTTTGGCTCATAAAGAACACTCTGGGTATACATGTACTGTGTCATACAAATTGCTTTAATAAGTATGCTGGGGAGACAGTGGTAGACACGTAATGATTTCCTTAATAAGTTAAGTAACTAAACCATTATTTTCTCTCATATGTTACTCTACTCCTTTCAGACTATAGTTTGTAATTACAGGAAGACTAATGATCCAAATGATGAGGAACCATTGGTTAATATGCTTTGTCTTTGTTTTACTAGGCAGCTTCTTCTTTTGGAAGTGTTTGCATGGAGAAAGCTCCACTGAAGACATGTGTCACACTTTGGAGTCTGCTGGACTTAGCCCCCAGCTGTTGTTGGTAAGGTTTCCATTGCTGGATGCTCTTCTTTGTCAGTGCCACCCAGACTCATTTTCTAGCATTGTCTTTCAGCATATCAGACCTTGCATGAAAGAATTCTAAAATTGATCGCACAAATTTATAATCATGTTTAATTGAATATTAAAATTATATTTTCTTGCTCCCTGAAAACTATAACAAACACATTTTTACAACGAGCCTAAAATGAATTTAGAATCTAGCTTATATGCATGCATTTTCAAAACTTTGAACATCAGCAAAAACTTTCATTTTGAAAGTAAAGATTTTATTGAAATATCAAAATAAATTTCCCTTAAAATAGTACACAATTATTATCAACTAATTCTAAACTTTGAATATATAAATTAGCATTTACTGTGAATATATAAATTAGCATTTAATACCTGTGCTATAGCGGATGTTAAACAAAAGAACCATCAGTGGAAAAATCTATAACAATAAATTTAGAGGTCTACAAATACAATTTATGAAAACAGAAGTTACTGGAATTCTTGAGTGGTATAATGGTTAAGCGTTTCTCTATTCACCAAAAGGTTGCTGGTTTGAATCCATTCAGAGGAGCCTTAAAGACAGGTTTATTAATGTGCTTCCTAAGTCAAAACCTTAAACACCTAATGAAGTTCTACTCTGCACTGGGTTGGAAACAACTTGATAGTAACTAATGTCAACAAAAAGTTACTCCACCATTAATCATCAGTCTCATTGTATCTGTCTGTCTGTCTGTCTGTCTCTCTCTCTCTCTCTCTCACACACACACAGATTTTGACCCAAATTTAGACACATGAATTGTTTTTATTGAACATTGACCCACCTCACTGTCATTGAGTCCATTTTCAATGCATAGCAACCCTTCACAGCGTTTGTAAGATTGTAAGTCTGTACAGGAAAAGATAACCTTATCTTTCCTTCCTCGGCATGGAAGGTTAGCAGCCTAGTATTTCACCCACTGCACCACTAAAGTCTCTAAAAAGAGATTCTGTTTCACTCCAGTGTATATGTGAGAAAATAAAACAGTTAAGATATGCATAGATTGTATACAAATGCTTATGGTAGCTTATTTATAATAACTGAAATGGAAATGCCCTTCAGTGGGCAAATGCTTGAAAAAGCAATGGTACATCTTTATCATTGAATACTCCTCAACATTGAATTATTGACACCTGAAATTGAAGAAAAATGTGCTAAATGAAAAAAGACAATCTCTAAAATGGAGATATCTTGCATGATTCCATCTGTGGAACGTTAGAGAAATAGCACAGTTAAAACTATGAATTGGTGTTTGACAAGTGTTAGGAATGATTTGAGGGAGGACGTGGGTGTGGCTATAGAATGGTGACATGAGGGACATGAGTCCTTTGCTGATTGTGTAACTGAGGGTCTTTATTGTGCTGATGATTATTCGGGCTTCTCGTGATAAAATTACTCATAGGTATACATACTCTCGCACAAACGAGGGGCTGTTTAGCTGGTGAAATCTGAAGTCGCGCTGTTGGTTTTGCTTAAACCATTGCTATTGTATTATAGTTGTGTAGGATGGTCACATTGGGCAAGGGTGAGGGGGAAAGGATGCAGAGGACTGACTTCCCTAATGTAGTTCTTTGGCCTTGCTTGTGAATCTGTAGTTATTTAAAGATAATATTTTTAAAGGGGGCTAATTAATTATACCAGGCAAAATTGAGATGCTGAAATAAAATGAGCACATGGTTCTTCTGATGTTTAATTGATATCTTATTACCTGCGTAAATCTGCTAATTTGAAACAAATTGAATCTTGATCCTTACCTGGTTAATTGTATGTAAAACCCAACTTAAAAGTGAAATGTAGGAACTAAAACTACAGTTTTATTGATGAAAATGGGAGGATATCTTTGTGAACTAGGTTTAAGCAAAGATTTCTCAAACAAACCAACTCACTATCACTGAGTCGATTCCAGCTGATAGTGACCCTATTGGACAGGGTATAATTACCTATGTGGGTTTCCCGGACTGTAACTCTCTATGGGAATAAAGGATCTTGTCTTTCACGGAGCAGCTGGTGGTTTCCGTTGACCTTGTGCTTAGCATCCCAGCGCATAACCGCTACACTACATCGGGACACAAAAATCATTAACTATAAAAGAAAAATAGTGATAAATTGTACTTTATCAAACTTCCAATTTTTAACATTTTTAAAGACACTGTTAAAAGGTAGGTTTTTTTATTTTTCAAAAAATATATCTGGGTCTAAAATATAAAGAAATTAGTACCACTCAATAATAAGACAAATAATACATTTTTAAATGAGGAAAATACTTGAATAGCAGTATCACCAAAAAAGTATAAACAGGTGACAAATAATCACATGAAATATGCATTATTAGAGAAATGCAGAATAACACCACAATGATCCCAGTACCACTAGAATGGCTACAATTAAAAAAATTTGATAATTCTAAGTGCTGGTGGGGATGTAAAGCAATGAGAACTTCCATACACAGCTGATGGAGATGCAAAGTAATACAATCCCTTTGGAAGATAATTTGGTGGTTACTCTACAGTCCAGTGGTCTCTGAGGTAAAATACAGTCTCACTAGGTCATGAACTAAACTGTTCGCAGCACCTTTATTCATAGTATCCAAACGAAACAACCCAAAAGTCTTTGGATCAATGGATAAATAATGGTGTATTCATACAATGAAGTGAATTAGTGATGTACAAAATAACGCAAATTTCAAAAACTTTAAGTGAAAGACTCTAGAAACAAAATAACTGCTTCCTGTATTCTTTCAGTAACATGAAATACTAGAATCGGCAAGAAAATAGACACCAAAAGCAGATCCGTATTTGCTGGGTGATGAGGTGGGGTTTGGGGATGAGCTATGAACAGGCACAGGGCACTTTCGGGGTAATGAATATACTCATATTTGTGGTGTTAAGTTACTCAACTTAAAATTAATGAATCTTATTGTCTACGCTCCCAGACTGCTTGTATTTTTCTGGTCTCACAAGTTGTCTACCTTTGACTGAGTGCAGCTTTATCACTATTCTGCCACTGTTTGAATGGAAAAGATTTGAGCTTTCCTTCTCTGACAGGTTTCCATCATACAGATTCTTGTTTCCTTAGCTTTTACTATATGTATTATGCTGTGATCAAGGTGATAGAAACTATCCAAAGGGAGCTTCAAACATTTCATGGAAACTTTTCATAATTCTTTATTTTTACTTTTCAAAATTCTTTAATTTTGAAGCCCCCATAAAATTTTAATGTAAACTTGCGTACTTAAAGTTTATAAGATCTATAAGTGGCATAGTGGGTTAAGTGTTGGGCTGCTGACCTAAAGGTTAGAAGTTCAAAACCACCAGGCTATCCAAAGGAGAAAGATGAGGTGTTCTCCTGTAAAGACTTCAGCTTTGGGAACTCAAAGGGGAAGTTCTACTCTGTTGTGTAGGGTTCATAGAGTTGGAATTGACTCAATGACAGTGAATTAGGTTTTGGTTTTTGTAAGTAAGCAGTCAGACCTCTATTTCTATTGGTTCCTAATCTACAGATTCAACCAACTGCTTGCAAAAATAGTAAGGGGGTGGGGGAAAGCATTAAATAAACACCAAACCCAGTGCCATCGAGTCAATTATAACTTGTAGCTGCACTCTGTGTATGGTTTCTGATACAAAAATCTTTGTGAGAGGCTCATTTTTTCCCAAAGAGTGTCTGTGTGGGTTTGAACCACCAACCTTGTAATTAGCAGCCCAATGCTTAACCTACTACAAAGGCTAAAAGGGGAAATGCAGAGTGCTGTTTACATAGCATTTGTATTGTATGAGATATAAATAATCTAGAGGTAATTTAAAGTTGAAGTGCATTTGAGTAGGCTATATGCCAACATTATGCCATTTTATATATGAGGCTTGAGCACCAATATGGTCCTGAACCCGATGCTCCATAAACACTGAGGTACGACTGTATATTGTTAATGTACTATGAAGGTATATAGAAGGGTTGATCATTTTTAAATCATTTTTTTTAATTGTCAACCTCCCAGAAACCATTTCCATCATTCCAATTAATTGATCTGTTCCCTTTCATTAACCCTACAGAAATGTTTTATGGCTAGGTTTTACATTTTAATTATTGTTACCATCATCTGAATGCTTTTAAGTAATCATATACTTTAAAAAGTATTCTGTGAATAGCAAGTAAAAGGGCAAAATAGACGTGGAAGCATTTTCACTCAGGACACATTATATATAGTTTTGAATGGAGAAAAGAAGGGTGAACTTTGCTTAAAAGATTTATCCATATGTAAAGGTTAATTAAAGTATGCCATCAAACAGACTTTTTGAAAAAATCTATATGGTCATGTGGTTAGAATGATCAACCAATATACTCCAAGCATCTCTGCCAGCCTTGGGAAGATAAAATGCACTAAGTATGCATTCTCCTTATATTTTTCTAATTCCCTAAATTTGTGTCAGTGCCGAAATATAGACCAATGATATTTTTCTGAATTGACCAGTTTCAGCTTTTTTTTCAGACCATTGTATTAGAACGTAATTCCGATATCATACAATTCAATAGTTTAGTTATAGCAAGCAATGTTGTGTAGATACTTTTGCAATCATTTTCAAAACACTTTCTTCTTTCTTATACTCCTTGATATCAGTTCTCCATTTCTCCCCACCTCCCCTGCTGTACCCCCCAGGAACACTTATTCTACTTATCCAGTTATTATTATTGCTAATTATTGTTATCTATAGATTTGCCTAACCTGGGTTTCATATACCGACAAACATACAAAAATACATAATAGAGTCAAGACAGTTATGAACATTAGCAAAATACAACAGACAAATCCCAATTTGCAAACAAAAATCAATTTCACAATGTAACCTCTGAGACCATTCCCTACTTTGGATTTGGATTATATAATTTACAGTTCTTGGATCACAGGCTGATGTGCTTCTTCCATGTGAGCTTAGTTGATGGCTACTTGTTTGAAAACAAACCTTTAAAGACTCCAGACGCTATTCTTTCTAACAACAGGACACTATCTAATTTCTTCACCACACTTTGTTATAGCACCCATGACTTCCATGTTTCCTTAATAGGGCAGGTGGAGAGCAGGGCCATGTGGTAAGAACAAATTGTTCTTAGACTGGAGCTAGGATCAAGTGGGAGCTCAAAACTCATTACTAAATAAATGTTTTCTATCTGACTTTGGCTGATCTTAGACACATCTTTGTTATTTTATGGTAGAGAATCGTATCTACCATCTCCCTGGAGCATAAGGTCCTACTGTTTATAGTGTCATTGGTTTATCCTATAGTGATATATTTAGAACACAATTGAGAAAGGGAGATTAAACAAGTTTGGCTAACTACAAATCGTAATACATGAATTACTGACTCGCACAGATCAAGACCTTACGTGACTGGACATGGTGTACACAAACAGTGGTAGCTAGGTAAAGCTTAACAATAATATTCACTGTCAATGCCAGACAAAGATCTGCCAAAATAGTACATTTCTTAATAATGCAAGCAAGCCATTGAAGTAGTAAGTAAATGTTAGTCCACTTAGACCGTTTCAACTTTTTAAAAAAGAGATGACTTAAACCAGAGGTGCTCAACCTTCCGAATGCCACGACCCTGTAATACAGTTCCTCATCTTGTGGTGGTGACCCTCCTCCCAACCATAAAAATATTTTCATTGCTACTTCATAACTGTAATTTTGCTGCTGTTCTGAATTGGGCGATCCCTGTGAAAGGGTCATTTGACACTCAAAGGGGTCATGACCCACAGGTTGAGAACCTCTGACTTAAATATTTAGGACACACTTTAACATGCCAGACTTTAAATTGCACATGTAGAAATAGAACTATTGATCACTTTTGCCATGTAGATTTTCATATATATGTATATGCACACACAAGCAAATAAAACAGAAGAGGGAAAAGCAAGATAGCAGGCTTTTTGGTGAGTGAGAACGTATAAAGCCCATGAATTTATTAACAAAGTTAGGTCTTTTTTTTAAATCTTCAAAGTTAATTTATGTCAGTCTTCAGTGGCATCAAGTAGATTTTCCTTTTTAAAAAAGATCATTTTATTGGGGACTCATAAAACTCTTATCACAATCCATACATCTATTGTGTCAAGCACATTTGTACATTTGTTGCCATCATCATTTTCAGAACATTTTCTTTCTACTTGATCCCTTGCTATCAGCTTCTCATTTTTCTCCCCCCTCTTGAACACTTGATAATTTATAATGATCATATCATTTGTCATATCTTACACTGTCCAATGTCTCCCTTTACCCACTTTTCTGTTGTCCTTCCCCCAGGGAGGGGGTTATAAGTAGATTCTTGTGATCACTTTCCCCTTTCTACCCTACCCTTCCTTCCCCCTTCCTGGTATTGCCACTCTCAACACTGGTCCTGAGGGGTTCATCCGTCCTGGATTCCCTGTGTTTCCAGTTCCTATCTTTACCAGTATACAGCCTCTGGTCTATCCAGATTTGTAAGGTAGAATTGGGATCTTGATAGTTGGGGGAGGAAGCATTAAAGAACTAGAGGTAAGTTGTATGTTTCATCATTGCTACATGGCACCCAGACTGGTTTGTGTCCTCCCTGTGACTCTTCTGTAAGGGGATGTCCAGTTGACTACAGATGGGCTTTGGGTCTCCACTCTACGCTCCCCCTCATTCACAATGATATGATTTTTTGTTCTTTGATGCCTAATAACCTGATCCCACCAACACCTCGTGATCACACAAGCTGGTGTGCTTCTTCTATGTGGGCTTTGTTGCTTCTCAGCTAAATGTCCACTTGTTTATCTTCAAGCCTTTAAGACCTCAGATGCTATATCTTTTGATAGCCGGGCACCATCAGCTTTCATCACCACATTTGCTTATGCACCTGCTTTGTCTTCAGCGATCATGTTGAGAAGGCGAGCATCATGGAATGCCAGGTTAATAGAACAAAGTGTTCTTGCATTGAGGGAATACTTGAGTGGAGGCCCAATGTCCATCTGACAAAGGTAGATCTTTTAAGAGCCTTTGTTGCAAATGCTACTCTTTCCTCTGCTAAGATATTTTAAGTGGTAGTTTTATAAGAATTATATTCATGAAGAAGCTGGGAAATGTTAATGTAGGTTGTGCTTTTTTTGCTTCTTTTTAATTTAAAAAGATTTCTAGATGTTCTGTGTTGTTATGGTTAGCTGCCCTCAAGGTTCTTGGTGACCTGTGTGTCAGAGCAGAACTTTGCAGTGTTTTGAGGCAACAGATCACCAGGCCTGCCATCGTTCTCTTAGGTTGACAAGGCTCGCTGCTCTGATACATGGTTCAACAGGCAGATAGTAGTTTTCCATCAGAAAAACTGAATCACCCATGCGAACATACAAAAATCTCCTCTCTGGAAAGTACAAGATTATTTGTTAAAAGATCATTTAGACTAAAAAAGACTTACATTTTATTTCAGTCTCTCCTCCTGAGTGTTTGGCTTTGTAAGGAAAATTATATTTTGGATCAACCACAGTCTGTCTGCTGTCTTCATACAATGCTGTCCCTCCTGAGCAAGATGAAAGGTAAAGTCCTGGTGTGGGGTCTGGTTCCAAGGGCTTGGGGATTTATGCTGCAGCACATTTGACCATAGGGACTCTTTTACGTATTAGTGAAAGCTTGTGTCATCACCACAAATAATGTGGCTTGATGGAGCATTTTCTTAACTCCGAGAGGTGAGATGATAGATGTCTTATGGAGATAATACTTTACCATTTTTGCCATCATTAGAACATTATTAAGGTAGCTCATAGAGGTTTTCAACAGAGATAAAAATATTACCGACCCCTGTCAGTAAACTGATTCAAGAAAAATATTACTTACACAGGGTAAGTGGAATAGGAACAGTTTGGGTAACAGGATATAGATCTATTTTTCTGATTCACTCAGAAGTATACAAACAACATTAGTAGGGAATTTAGCTTTCAAACATTGTTTTTAACATGAAAGATTGGATAGGAAAAAAGCATCAAGGTGAGAGTTAATGGTTTCTTATTGTTCCTTTTATCTGGCTCTTCAGTGGCCATTGATGAGACCTGGGACTCCCAGTCAGTGTCCCCTTGGTGGCAGCAGATGCGCACGGCCTGTATTCAGTCGGAGAACAATGGAGCTGCTCTTCTGGCTGCCCATGTTGGGCACTCTGTTGCTGCACAGATATCAAACAATATGACAGAGAAAAAAGTAAGTTGGGCAAGCTGCAGCTGTGATCTCTTCCATCCAGTTGGCTAAGGGACACTTTTCTCTTTGCTGGGGACACATAGTCTCTCCAGGGTGGTGGAACATTTAGAACCTGAAATGTGTGATTTCCTTTATTGTTTTGTTTATTCACATGACTTGCTACTTGATTAGTAGTTGTTACTTAAAGATAAAAATATACTAACAGGGTGTTGAGATCTGGCTTTTAGCCCGTAGCTGGTGATTTTTAGCAGAACTAAAAACAAAAACAAAACCAAAATCCCCCAAATCCCAGCACCATCATTGTTCATGAGTATTCATGCTGATTTAAGACTCTGGCAACATCCTCATGCAATTTCTGTTAGTTTTCCCAGACAGCTTTGAGTGCTGATTCAGAGGGCCTCACGGATTCCTGGGAGGCTCTTTCTCTTGACACTGAATACTGGAAACTCCTGCTGAAACAACTGGAGGATTGTCTCATACTTCAGACTCTGCTCCACAGCAAAGTAAACACTCCACCAGCCAAAGTGTCCTCACTGCAGGCTGAGCCGCTCCCGAGGCTCTCTGTTAGAAAACTATTAGAAGGAGGAAAAGGTAACCTGAAGTTTACTCTAGCATTGTATCTGTGTTCACATACTGTGGCTTCTTTTTTGTTGTTGCTTTTTGTAGAAATGATGGAAAGACTAGGGAAATAGAAATAGACATTGAGTTTTAAAAGTCAGTATGTTTGTATTTCTTCTCATGCACCATCTCAGAATCTGAACCAGTCAGCTCCTTGCTCAGGACACCCAACCACTTTGCCCTCCAAATAAATAAGTAAGCAGTGGTTCTTAAAGAGTGGTCAGAGGGCCTGAAGCCTTCACTTTACCAGGACCTACCCACAGGGGACTGGACTTTCCTTCTGTGCTTCAGCCGAGCAACAGATCACAGCAGATTGAATGTCGAAGCAGTTGAGAATCCAGAGAGAAGTGAGAACAGTAGAGGGTTTACAAAAGTGTAAGACAGTGCCACTCTTCAATTGTGAGTCATCGGTGTGAGCTCATTGTTCTTAGCAGCAGCACTAGTCCGCATTTGATACTTACATGATCATATGAAAGGGCTTCCAAACTCTTTTGCAAAATTTCCATAATCCTTCAAATCCAAAATTTTTCCACAAATGTTTGAAGCCCCTCAGATTTCAGGATTTATAAAAACTGTAGATTTCTTGTTTGTATAACCTTTCTCATTTTTTATAAGACCTGTGATAACTTTTGAATTGTAAACTCATAACACACCATGTGCTCATCTGATGGAAGGATGGGAGCATGATTTTAATATTAAATCTAAGCAAATATAATAGGGTCTTAATTCTGGAATGAGAATTATCAACTGATGATGCCAAACACAGGAATTAGACAACCTAGCACCTTGTTCTCATACTGACAACTGAGTTTACTGTGAAGCATTTTTCTGGAAAAATTTATATTTGATTTAAAACAAAAAATATTTGAGTCATGGTCAGAAAAGACAGAGAAAACAAGTAAGTGCATTGTCATGAGAGAAAAAAACTCCTTGGTGCACAACTTTCCTGCCCTTTATCTCACCGAGCTGCTTTCAGTTGTTTTTATTATTCAGTTAACTTTTTGTATTCAATGGGAGAATTCTTCTGCAGCCATCCACTGGTCTCAGGCATGTGTAAACAGCTTTTGTTTGGAATGAGCCCCTGCAGGGTGAAGTGGAACCCTCGGATTAAAGCTTTTTCTCTAACCCTCTCGTAGTCGTACATATGCATTGATATTGATGTAATATTTCTTAAGAATATATTGATAATCTTGGTGTCAAATGTTTCACCTGCTCTTATGAGTTAAACAGTATGTGGTCACGCTGCAGTAAATTGCATGGCTTGGAGAGAGGATGGTCCATTTGTGGCTCCACGATGAATGTTCGCTCTCGTCATAAAGAAATACAGGTCAGAACACTGCATTGACTCTGTGTTTGGCCAGTACTGCTGCTTACGTGTTCCTCTCTCTCTTCAAACTGTAGGTGGCATTGCAGACAGTGTAGCCAAGTGGATATTTAAGCAAGATTTCAGCCCGGAAGTATTGAAATTAGCTAATAAAGAAAGAGATGTAGAAAACCCTGATGAACCCAAAGAAGGTACTAACCCAAGTTTCCCTGAAGTGTTAGAAGTAGACAGGAACTTGGAAGCCATATCAGGTAATACATGAATAATGATTATGAAATCCAGAGTGGAGAGATGTGACTGACTACAATGAAGAAAATGTAATATTATTTCTCTCTTCTGGCTTTCAGACTTGCTGCATTTAGCCTATGAGCAGTTTCCTTGCAGCCTTGAGCTGGATGTGCTGCATGCTCATTGCTGCTGGGAATATGTTGTTCAGTGGAATAAAGATCCAGAGGTGAGATTCTCATCATTGCTTCCATGTTAAACCTTTTTCTTTGCTCACATATGAGATTGTTTAATTATAAACATTGGATTTTCCCCTCTGAATGATTCCCTTCTAGGCCTTTTTATGTAGTATCACATAGGAAACCTATGAGGTCTTAAAAACTCACTGTCATTGAATTAATTCCAACTCATAAGAGACCTTACAGGACAGAATAGGACTTTCTTTTGGGATTTCTGAGACTTTAAATCTTTCTCCCAAGGAGGAGCTGGTGGGCTCAAACTGCTGACTCTGTGGTTAGCAGCTCAGAGCATAGCTCACTATGCCACCAGCACTCCACTTGAAATATAGGTATTGTTATTTTACCAAATCTAGAGATTAGGCAACAGGGGCTCAAAAAGTTAAGTGACTTACCTAAGGACACAAAGCTGAGTAAGTAATTGGGCCAGGATTTGAACATAGGTTTCTCTATGTCTAATGCCAGTGTTTGTCCCCACTCTTTAGTTAGTTTGTGATGATAAATGTATATATTTTAAATTTCACACCCTATTCCTTCATGCAAGTACATAATAGAAACATTTCAGTGGTATAGTTATCATGATAAAAAGTCAGGAAAGATTGTCCTCGGGTTTTGACTGTTCCGATGTCTGTGTCTATTACTTCTGTCATGTTTATCTCCAAAGAACACCCAAGGGAGGAAAAAAACCACTATGGGCAGCGTCCCTTCTTTTGTATACCTCTTTGCTTGGGGACACCCTTTTTTTATTATTTTCGCCCACCACCCTTTCCTTCACGGCGTTCAAGGGGTAGAAACAGTGTAGAAAGAAGGGCCCAAGCCTGGAGAGAGGAGACCTGGGTTTGAATCCCAAATGATTGGCTGACAATCTGGGACCACCATCTGTTGTCCATCTCAGCCCTTCTTTTTTTTTTTTTTTTTTAACTATTAGACCAACTTTTACTATACAATATTTCACATAAATCATGTTTTACATTTTGTCTAATTACATACAGCAAAAATCTCAAACCAACACAAGAATGGCAGAGGAAAAGATGCAATTGGTTTATCATATGCAAATTAAACACACAGATATAGAGAAGCAGTCAAATGTCAAAGAAAGCACACTCACTCTAAAGTCTCAATGAAAAGTTGATATGCATGAGTGGGAGAACCATAAGAAGCACAACTTGTTCACAAAATAAATCACTTAGGAATGGTTCTCCCACCCATGCATCTCAGCCCTTCTTAATGAAGATGCTGATCCTTCAAATTGACACCATGGTCAGATACAATGTGAAAACCTGGTGGGTATTCCCATTGGCCAAGACAGGTCTTCACTAGACAGTGCTCTGTTCAATTATTCCTTTTAAATCATCATTCCTTCCTTGTTCTTACCTCGGGTTGCAATCTTGTAGAGAAATTTAACTAATGGACAAATTTGTACTTTACTAGTGGTAACCATAGTCTTCTTCCCAAAGTGGGGGGTGGATATATATGTATATCCAGATAAAAAAGAAGGTACTGAAAACGTAGGTATTTCAAGTAGAAGAACTAACTGACTATTCAAGTAAACCTTGACCAAATGTAATGTCATAACATAATCAATTTCAAAATCTGAATCACTGTATTTCAGATTCAATTCTAAAAATGTGATATTTGAACAGGAAATTTAGTTTCACAACATTCCTTTATAATATAAAGGCAGGTCTGCATTGTGGACACAGACCAGGCTCCTATTTACTAGCTTTGTGACCTTTGGGAATTTTTCTGAACCCTTACTTCCTCCATTCCTCCTAAAATTAAAGCTGGATTTGCCAACTAATTTTGTATATGAACGTAGATTAAACACATTACTTTTGTCAAAGGTAATTGCAGTTGTTTTGAATTAATAAAGTTGTGTGTGTGCAATGGAGGTGCTGGACTGGTGGTTAGATAGGGTAAGGAGATAAATATGTAACCGAAAAACAGCACTTTATTTTAAAAGTAAACAGTTCTGACCAGGGGTCCTTAAACTACAGCCCACGGATGTGTCCGGCCGAGGACATTTATCCGGCCCACCGGGTGTTTTTGCCCGTTTTGGTTTTTTGCTTCAAAATAAGATATGTGCAGTGTGCATAGGAATTTGTTCATAGTTTCTTTTAAACCATAGTCCTGCCCTCCCAATGGTCTGAGCTAGCCCCCTGGTTAAAAAGTTTGAGGACCCCTGTGTCTGACAGTGACTAGTGATGACTTTAATCAAAGTGCCAAGTGCTATGCATGCATTTTCTCAGAGTTGTAGCAGTTCGTGGAGAAAACAGAGGCATAATGTCTGACCTGTTCATTAGTGTCATTACCCGTTTAAAAGTAAACACATTTAAAGTACTAAAATAATTCTACAATATAAGAGGGAGTTGAGATTTATCAGAAGTTACAAGTGAAAGTTGTCTATGCCTATTGCTATTACCCTGTTTCCCCAAAAATAACAGTGCCTTATATTAATTTTTGCTCCCAAAGATGCGCTAGGTCTTATTTTCAGGGGATATCTTATTTTTCCATGAAAAAGAATACGGTACACATTTATTGTTGAACCAAAAAAAAGGAAATTTATTACCTGTATACAGTACGGTAGTAGTTGTCATCACAAACCAGCATAACCAGACAAACTGAATCCTACAGTATCAAGAATTTCTTGTTACTACCATTATTTCCATGTACAACAATCTATGGTACATTTACTCATAATCTATGGTATATTTACTTGTACTTCCTGTCTGCTTCGGCTGCACTGTGGCCAACAGTGAGCTGCACGGTGTCACCTGCCATTACGGTCCAGAGTGTAGCTTGGAGTGGGGGGACTTATTATCAGGGAGACCTTATGTTTGGGGAGGTCTTATTTTCGGGGGATGCCTTATATTTCAGTGAGAGGCAAAACTATAAGTAGGTCTTATTTTCGGGGGATGTCTTACTTTCGGGGAAACCCTGTAGGTCAGTTAAATAAATTTTATGTATTTTATCCTTTTAGTGTTTCTAAAACAATTAACTTATTTTATTCATTATTTGTGTCATAATTACACCTCACTTTGATTGCTTTCCATGTTCACTTAAATGTCCAAAAGATTTTGCTTTCAATAATTCCAGGATAACTTATCTTTCACATACTCATTTTACATATTAATGTCTACCATTTCCATATGCATTTTTCCTAAAATGTTTTAAGACTAAAAACCACTATAATTTCATGTAACTTGGCATAACTAAATATTACTACAGTATTTCAAAGTGGATGTTATTACTAGTAGCAAATTAAAAATATGAGAACTTAAAACATTGCCACAAGCCACATAATAAACATTTTTGTTGTGTATTTACAATAAATAAATAAAATGAAGTGGCTATTTTCCTTGTATTCATTACTAAATTCCTGAAACCCCAAACCTGGTACTCAATAGATGCTCAGTTGAATGATGAATGGATGTGTGAAGTGCACTTGCAAGAATATAATCTCACTGTTTCCACATCTGTGTGAAATCCAAATATTTATTGGCAAAAATACTTTTATGATAGGCAAGCCACAGTATAGTATCCACATGTGAGGCTATATCTGTGGCCACAGGAATTAATCATTATATGCTCTTGTTAGCTAATGTGGACTTGATTCTGACTCATAAGTTATACTAGGAAAATTTACTTCTTACCTAGTAATAGCATGTTCTTACTGTAACATTCTGAGGTAGTTTTCTGAGATTTATATGAGGTCACCATTTGTATTGTATTTAAAACAACAACAATTAAAAGATAACCTCTTAAAAAAAAAAAGATAACCTTTTTTTCTCTTCTTTTTTCCTTTTCTCTACCCGAATGTAAGGAAGCACGTTTTTTCATTAGGTCAATAGAACACTTGAAGCACATTCATAATGCACATGTTCAGAATGGTAAGTAAATAATATTTAAAATGTCACTTAAGGCAAGAATCGTTAGCTTCATATCCTGTTTATTTGGTGGCCTTACACTCTGAACATGTTATCATGTGTTACTGCATGCAAAGTATTGGTTGTCTTAACTACCTGAAATAAATGCCCTCCAGAAACGAGGGAGAAGGAGTTGTATTTATATTATCATCTGTCCTCATCCATCTATTGGCCCAGGTTATACTGCTTGTGTATGTAAGGCGGGTACTGTACATGAATCATTCATTGATACCCTATTTAGTTCACTGGTAGATAAAGAAAAACATTGTGGAGTTCTCAGGACTTAATTCCTATTAATAAATTAGGAACCCGAAAGCTAAGACTAGACTTTACATATTACCTTGAGCTTCTTTTAATAAATGTGAATACTCTCCATTGGCTGCTATACCACAGACACTGCTGATAACTTCTTGGGGGCAAAATAGTTGCAATTTTTTTTTTAACAAATGAATTTCATTGTAAGAACTAATTGAACCCATAACTAGGTTAGTTAGAGGAGCCCTGGTGGCATAGAAGGTTGTGAGTTGAACTGCTGACTGCAAGGTCAACAGTTCAAGCCCACCAGCTGCTCCACCAGAGAAAGCGGCGGCTTTCTACTTAAGTAAAGATTTGCAGTCTTGGAAACCCACAGGGACAGTTCAGTTCTGTCCTCGGCCACTGTAAGTCAGAATTGACTCATCAGCAGTAAGTTTGAAGTTTCCTTTTTGACTAAGCTAATTAGTAACCTTAATACAAGTTGTAGGACTGTGTTGGACTGTAAAGAAGAGATAACACGTTTATGTTGACTTTCTGAATTCCAGGGAGAGCACTTATTTCTTCTTCACCTCTACCACCTTTTTAGAGATAATCACAAAGGGAGTTAAAGGACAATATGAAGTCAAAATTTTTAATTGTCCATTTTACATGAAGAGAACTTGAAAGTTAATCATATATCCCTTAGATTAGTGGTTCTCAACCTTCCTAATGTCACGACCCTTTAATACAGTTCCGCATGTGGTGTTGACCTCCCTAACCCTAAAATTATTTCCATTGCTACTTCATAACTGTAATTTTGCTACTGTTATGAATCGGGTGACCCCTGTGAAAGGGTCGTTGAGAACCGCTGCCTTAGATGTTAACTTCTTTCAAGGAGAGAAAAATCATTTAAAGTGACTGACTTGGAAAAAAACAATCTCTAAATAACCCTGCCCTTAGTAAAATTAAGTTACCAACTGATTTTAAACTAGTATTTCATAATGCTAGGTCTTTGTTGTGTGAGATTTTTAACATCGTGACAGCCTTTAAACAAAATACAGTTCCTAACTGCTGACAGCAGTAATAGGAGCCTAGAAAATGCCTATTTCCCTGCTTGATTGACAACTATTTTGGAAATTTTTTAGTTTTAATGCCACAGCTTGCAGTACAGAAGTATAGATGGCCCAGAGTTTTTTGATTTCTTGTTTTACCTTTAATTTTTTTATATATTCTTGCAGTACAACATGTATATAGTAAATATTTGCTTTTAGTCTTGGTTACATATGAAAACACTTCCGGGATTTTGAAGCTGTTTTTAGTATTTGGATATTATTAAGAAAGCTGCCCTCAGCGGTCGCGTGCATGACACTTATATTCCTGCCCATTGAGTCTTTATCTACCCAGTGTGTAACCCAGGTGGGCCATACACTAGACACGTGTAGCTTTAGTAGATATAGCACAAAATTTTCCAAGTGGTTTTACCAAGTAATTTCTTAACACAGTGCATGGGAGTTCTGCTTGCTCCACATGCTCACCAAAACTTGGTATTTCATGTCCATGTACTTTGTTAGTGTTTAAGTTTAGCCTTTCTGGCACGTGTATGGGTTTAGTGTCTATTTCCCATAACTGATTATGTTGAACCTTTTCTTATGTTTATTGACCATTTAGAGATCTCTTAATTGCAGCTCACTTCTGATTTTTATCAAAGATAAATATTTCCTTAACTTTGTCCATAGCATACAAGAATAAGTAATGATAAGTAAATTACTATAGCTCAGGTCTTTCTTTCATAGGTATAAGGAAGCCAGTGGTTGGTTATGTGTCATGTAGTGAAAATACTTAAGCGTTCTGTTTACTACTTTACTTTTTAACTTACTACCTAGGCATTGCGCTCATGATGTGGAATACATTTCTAGTTAAAAGGTTTTCTGCTGCTACATATTTGATGGATAAGGTAAGTCACCAAAACATTTTTGACTACTTGCTTTTCTTTGTTTCCTTTGATCAATAGACTGGAATTAGTAAGTTTATCAACATTGTATCTTATTGGAATACTTCTTATTTGATAATAAATTCCACTTAAGCTTATTTAAATATAGTTCTGAGTACTGGCTTTTTAACGGCATGCAGAAGAGCTTGACATACTTTAAAAGAGAAAACCAACGAAACTCACTGCCATCGAACCAATGCCAACTCAGAGCAACCCTGTAAGACAATATACCTGCCCTCCGAGTTTGTGAGATTTTACATTTTTACAGGAATAAACAGCCTCACTGTTCTCCCTGGGAGTGGTTGGTGAGTGTAGACTCCCGACCTTGTGGTTAGTAGCTTAGTTCACAGTCTGCTTTGCCACCAGGACTCCTTTGAAAAAGAGTAATTCATTGTCAGTGCTGCTTAACCAGAGAGTTTGAATAGCTTTTTTTTTTGAAGCAGTAAATTGCATTTAATTTTAGATTAAAACATACTGATGTACATTTTTCTCTGGATGCAGGACCAAGAAGTCCTCTTCAGGAGGCGATGTAGCAACGATGAAAAATACAACTTTCCTCTAGTTCCTAAATGTTTCCTTCCTGGTCCCACTATCATGATACAAATTCTACCCTGCAAGTCTGGCTAGACCAGAGGATGTACCCTGGTACAGATAGGAACTGGAAATACAGGGAATCCGGGGAGGATGATCCCTACAGGACCAGTGGTGTGAGTGGTGAAACAGGGAGGGTAAAGGGAGATTGGGTAGGAAAGAGGGAACCGATTACAAGGAACTAT